TCCATTTTTTTTTCTCGTTACAATTTTCTAGGTCGAAGATTCAGTGCCTTACGCATCGTCATGATGAGCGTGACGCGTTTTAAGCTGCTTCTGCTCGAGTCATTTCCAGTTTGCTGATACACCGTCGTCGTATTCCTTTCGTATCGACTTTCCATTCCGAAGCCGTTGCTGGGCTGTTTCTAAATCAACCAATATACAATATGGAAACTGAATGAGAATAAAAGTCAAAAAAAAAAAAAAAACAAAAAAAAAAGAGAACACTCAAAATCCACTCAGTACCAATCAAATAAGTTTTGCAAGATGTTAAGATTCGATTATAGGAAAACAATTTTTTGTACAATAATTTCGTAAGACAAAACTCAAGCAAAAACACTTTAAAACGATCATCGTTACAAAGGTTACACACGGTTTTTGCGAATCGATCAACTCAAATGTGAAGCAGGCAATATAGCGGACGATACAATAATTAATGAACGAGGAGAAGCGATTATTCAGGCGAATATAAACGGATCGTCTGTTGAGAATATAATAATTTCAATGATTGCGCCTGACAGTAACAATAAATCCAATGAGACAGCCTTTTTTTCGTATATATCAATGTTTTCCATGTCTTTTTTTTTCTTTATTTTTTTTTTTTAATTTTTTAACTTACGCAACGATCACACTCTAAAGCAACGAAACTGATTCGTTCTGAGCCTACCTGAGTTCATCTACGTAAGCGCAGCCATATTTTATTTCAAAAGTACCGACGACCCATGATTTTACCTAATATCTCAAAATTTTACGTACACATCTCTCTCTCTCTCTCTCTCTCTCTCTCTCTCTCTCTCTCTCTCTCTCTCTCTCTCTCTCTCTCTCTCTCTCTCTCTCTCTCTCTCTCTCTCTCTCTCTCTCTCTCTCTCTCTCTCGCTCTCTCGCTCTCTCTCATCTAGGACATAACTTCGTTGTATATCGGCACGTAAGGCGATCCTCATCGTTCCTTGGTACAATAATTGTAATGTTACAATTTTTCTTTACGAGTCATCCGTTCCTATGTATTAATCCATCTATCCCGTTTCAATATCGATTCCGCTAACTAATGATTAGTTTGCCTATTGACTATCGATAGATCATTCGATGGCTCGTCGGTACGTGTGCTGCAAGCGTTAAACCGTTTAACATCATTGAACAACATTTTGGCTTGTCAGAACGTTTACAGTGTTCTTATACGTGTTTCCTCTATGAAGTGTATATACAGTAACGTCCAATTGAAGTGCAACACTTGAATTTTTGTACATTTCTGTGAGAGTATCACAGATTTCGAAAAACCAAAGACACATTTTTTAGGAAATTTCCTTCCCGTTCGAATGGTAAAGGTTTTATCCCGATCGAATACAAAATTTTGCGAGTTTCGCTCGAGGCGCTCGGGGGACTACTAGCCTACCACGCGCGCCAATTAATTGGCCCCCGAGCGCCTCGAGCGGAACTCGCAAAATTTTTTATCCGATCGGGATAAAACCTTTACCATTCGAACGGGAAGGAAATTTCCTAAAAAATGTGTCTTTGGTTTTTCGAAATCTGTGATACTCTCACAGAAATGTACAAAAATTCAAGTGTTGCACTTCAATTGGACGTTACTGTATATACACTTCATAGAGGAAACACGTATAAGAACACTGTAAACGTTCTGACAAGCCAAAATGTTGTTCAATGATGTTAAACGGTTTAACGCTTGCAGCACACGTTGTATACGTTTTTCTGTATTTTTGGTTTTTCACGGCAAACGCACCAGCTGAATCATCGTGCGAATCAAACGTGCGAACCAGCGATTGAAACAATTCTGTTAGTCGAGACAGCGTGGCCTTGTTAAACAAATGAAAGAATGTGAAATTCATGATCTTAGCAATGTTATGACGTTAACTTTCATTTCTTTAATGATGCCTTTCTGCTCTGATCAATAAAATCATCCATTCACGGCCAATTTCAGCTGGTGCGTTTGCCGTGAATAACGCTGTTTATATATGTGTGTGTATGTATTATAATTAAAAGTATAATTTTATACCGTAACTGTCATTCAATACGTACCATGAGTGTTAGAATTTATTCGTCTTTCTTAACTGTTTTCCCTCCGGTATATAATGTACACAGCTCCTTATTATATTATATCGGCTATCGAGTTTCCTTTCTATACGCATTGTATAGTTACAGACATAGACACACATGAGAAACTTGAGACACATAAGGTACATTTTACATTACGTAACTACATACCGTAAAAAGGGATTAAGGTCTCGCGACTCTTACCTATACGTACTAATACATTGTTGTTATTGTTACAATTGTTGTTACTAATATTATTTACATCATTATAATTAGTTGCCCCTCACTCGAACATTTCGATAACGTGATTAAGCAAATACAATTGTTATCATTACTATTTAGTCTTTCAGTGGGGATAAGTTGAGTCGCCGCGCGTTTCTTGGCAAATTCAAAGATATTTTTAAAAAAATAGGAAACTAATTTTAAAAAAAAAGTTTTTTCCCTAAAGTCTCGTAACGACAGCGCGGCCATTATCGAATTCGCGAAGCTTTCGATTAATCGTTGGAAAAATTGAAGAACTATAAGTACCATTGCGCGATGGGGATAATGAGAGGGAAAAAAAAGGAGAGGATAGTAACGACGAGATTCAATAACGCGATTAATTATTTTTGCACGTTAAATGTAGTGAAATTGTATTTTCGGTTCTTATTTTTCGATTAGCATAATAATAATACGTAGAAATACATAGGACTGCGAGATTAACGAAATTCTAGGAAAATGATGTCTTCGTCCTTTCGAATTTTCGCGTCAAGTAATAGTGCACGGTTACGTAAAAACTAATACACGCTTTTTGGCATCAATTGTATATTGTACGTACACACTGAATATTGGTGAGTCTAATTTCTTCCTCCATTTCAATGCTTCGCGTGTATCTTTTAATGGCCGAGCAAGAGTTCGATTATTTTTGGCATTAAGGCGGCTGTTCAGCTATTTTGCTATATTACCAATGATGCCAGATGTGAGGAAAACTTTACAATCACTTTTCTCCTGGGTTTACTCTTATTTCATTTAGTTATCGGCTCACCCACCATCCTTATACATGACGGAGTACGAGTAATCTGCTTTTAAGTGTATCACTTATTCTAATTCGAAGAAAAATATATGAAAATGAAGCAGACGTAATGACGGCCGCCATGAGAATTTGACAGGTCGGTTTCATATAGATTATTATTGAAGAGGAAGACCTTTGTGAATTTAAAATCCAGATGACCCTAAACTCCTTGTTATATAAGGAAGATGACTAAACTAATAATGTATATCAAATTAGTTAGAAACAAAGGAGAAAAATCTATGTAAAATTCATGAAAAATTCTATGTATACACAATATGTTGTATTGTTTGTTGATGATTGGAATGGTGAACACAAGACAAAAGATGGCTTTCAAGTAAGGACGAATGATTCTGACAGACAGTAGTGAGAAATTACTGTAATACCTGTTAATGACAGTTAGCAGCAGTTTGCCGATATCTGCGCCATCCGACGAAGCGCTGTGACACTAAAGTCAAAGAAACGCGAAATGTGCATGTAATCATGTATGAAAATTATACGATGACGTCTGTCATTATCCGTACGTTAAGCATCGTAATTCGTGTGTTCACTTTCCAAAGAATAATTTGTTCGTCGAGACGTTACGAAGAGCTTGCGAAGCCAGAGAGAGGCACGTCATTTCACTCTCGTTGCAGAGTTTCCTAATTTGTACACATGGACAAAAAGAAATAAAGACGTTCAGACTCGTGACTCACGTTCATGTTTGCCTTTGCCTCGTGTAATTAAGAGGCAAAGAGCGAAATACAAAGTAAATAATAATTTCGTACGCAATAAATTCTTCAATTATGACGCATAATAACGACGTAAAGTTTTGTATTTACAAGCGTCAGGTTGCCTCTAACCACGGTCTTACATTGTAAGGTATGTAAAGCCGTGCCTGTGACGATCAACGTTAATACGCATGCGCGCCGGTACGCATTTGGGAATTCAGCAAGACGTAGGAGACACACTCCGATCGCGACAAATACAAAGGACACAGAGAATGGACTATGCGAGAAAAAATATAAGCGGTTATTGCACTCGTTCGAATGTCTATTGCAGTTTTTTTGCACTTTTCTTTTCTCACTGACGCGGACCACGTCCGCCAAGACTTACCATTTCGGTGGTGAGACTGGCAAGCGCTTCTTCGACCGTGGCAGCTATACGGCCGCCATCTTCTCCTCGTTTTCCGCTTCTAATTGGCGTCGTCGGGCAACCTACAATTAACGTGATTTGATCAAAGACAAATATAACAAGTTTCATGACTCGTTGAATCATTGACAAAGCCTAAATAAGAATGATATCTCATTGACTATTATTTATGCAAGTACATATACGTCAACGTGTAAGCTCTCTATTTTATTCCTTTTTTTTTATAAGTGCGTGATCATCAAATACCCGGAGACAGACATACAGAAAGGCACAACAGTGAAAATATAATAACCTGAACTTATCTCAAGCTCGACGCTCCTGAGCGAGTCTATAAGCTTGAAAGAGTGTATGGGATTTAATGAAAATGGTTACGAGATTTATAGCATTGTTTATGCATTTGTCTTCTCTTTTAACTTTATTGTCTCGCAATATGTCGGCAGAGCAGAGTCATTGAACAGGATTGTGTCCTTCGTTAACTAGACAGAACTATGTGTAAATTAACTTCTTTTAATACTGAGTATTAATAAAATGTGTACAGTATATAGATGTTGTTGGTACTTATATGTAAACAAGTACACAAGAGATTATCTGACTGTCAAAGAGACACTGCCATTAAGCCAGACAGTCCATGTATACATATATGTATTTATATATTTTTTGTATCATCTATCAATCAAGGTGTTTAAGGCAACTAAATCTTTATAGAAACAAATTTTTGTTTCGTTAATGGCAGTTCCTTTGTTTCTTCTAACTAACTTCTTCCAGTTCTTTTTTCTAGGTTGTCGTTAAGGAAAATATCATATTCTTCATTGAGACTTACAGTTGACATTGTTTCAATTACGATCTACAACACAGACAAGATAATTTTAGTAGGCACTGATTTCTTTTGGATGGAGATAGTTCTACTTTACGTAAGGAGTGATCAGTCGATACTGACTACCTAGTAGAGAAAAATAAGAATCGAAGGAACAACTTCAAGGCAACTATTACAAATTCATTATTTTTCTAGTATATTAGCACAGTTTTCACGTGCTGAACAAATTGTTATGTAAAAGTTTCATAAATACAGATAAATCCGATAATCTCACATCAAATCAGTCTATCATGCACCTGTTACACAGGGACGTCATATAGTTTCTAAATAACAATAACAGTACTACAAACGGTGGACTATCATTGCGACACACAATCACGTAAAAATTAGCCAGTCAAATAACAAACGCCAATTTCAAAAATAAATCGATATACAAAGTATCCACGGTTAACAACCAACGCGCAATTGTGAAAAGAAATTAGCGAAGTAGCGAAAATAAATTTCATTTGAACAAGCCTGACAACATATAGCTAGAGCAAAAGTACACTGTACACCCTTCACAATATATCAGACTTTTCCATGGTAAAGAACAGTTCCATCGAACACGCAATTTTCATAAATTACAAAATATCTGGAAATTCCTCAAAGCCAGCGGCAGCACGTAGAACTCCGAAGTAACAATAACATCCCCTTAAAGACGTCTTCAGGGCTTGTAGTAGACGTTGAGTGCGTAGATGAACTTACCGATGTCACCGCTACTCGAACTCTCCGTAAAGGATGGTGTCCCTTCCGTCCAGGTTGGCGTCGAGCCTTCGACACTACCAGTAGGAGGTGTCCAAGTTAACCCACCACCCCCTCGACTACTACTCCCGCTCTCAACGCTCAACGAGGACTTTGTTTCTCTTCCTCCACTTCCGCTGCCACTTCCGCTACTCTCTAGATGAACTTCGGATATGCTACAAAGGGTATCAATGAAAAATGAATTATTTTATTAGAGTATTAATACACGACTCATTTCAGATATTTTAATTTATTGACCTACCTTACTGTATCGTGATTGACCTTAGCAAGTGTCACGTGATGGACTACTCGGTTCTGCTTGGAATGGGAAGAGCTTAGGCTGCTCGTCAGAATTGGGGTTGCACCTTGATGAGGATGATGACCACCGGAAGCCAAGGTTTGATCGTTCGAGCGGACTGCGTCATCAAAAGGCGGGGGTGGAGTGGAGCAGGTTGAAGGAAGGGTGCCACCTACAAAAAGCGTACTACCATTAGCCCCTAGATGAAAGTAAATTTTACACAGGTATAATGCACACTTAGGAACTACTTTGTTCTGATGATTTTTCTGTAAATTTTTCCTTTTTTTTTTTGTTTAATTCATCATTTTCATTAATAATCAAGTAGCAATCACGTCACATCTGTTGGAAGGCCATGTACAATCTGTTCTGGGAGAATTTTACTCTTCGTGTTAGATAAACGGCATCAATGATTAAAGCAGATAAATAAATATGAAACATTGAAACCTTTTTTTCTTTAGGATAATGGAATGTGTGGATTTTGATTTGTTTTTGTATGACAGGGTCACTACTAGTTACTACGACACTTAATACTAGCGCGCTAATCAGCGAGGATATCAAAAGCCATAAGCTATAATACTTGATAGTTTTCTTTTCTGTTATTAATACATTAATTAAGGAACATTGTTTTATTATTGTAATACGGATATTCGTATACAGTGATCTTCAGTGTCACGATGGGGATGTGTGATTATAGCGATGAAGAGGGTGAACGGAAATTTTTATACAAAATAACACACATGCAACAGAACTTATCAATTATGGAAATGTTTGGAAAATGACGCGCAAAACACTTATTGTGATACAAAGGAAATTATTTTCATGAACACCCTACTTTCTATATATATATATGTTTCATGATTTATCATAATCACCTGTAGTAGCATGATGAAAGATAAATATTATGCATTTTTCTGATAATCATATCACTATTAGCGTGAAAGTCAATAAATCGAATGACAATGATTTTGCGATATGCTAATTGTACGATCGCGTGCTTGCGTAACCATGCAAAAATGAAAAATTCGCTAACGTGAGACTCGAATTTTCAGAACTGTTATGCCGCTCTAAATAATCCTTGTATTGATCGTCGGTAAGAAATGATTTCAAAGTTTCTGGAATTTTGTCGCGATCGACTTGAATATTTGGCGAGGTAGTGATTAGTCGTGATCTTGATTTTCGAAAAAATGTCGAATTTCTTACGACTTGTTTGCCAACTTTTTTACTTAGCACATAATCGATTTTACGTTCGTCGTATTCGCGCAATTTTAACGACCGTAATAAAGTTTTGTCAAATTTTTCAAAATTCTCATGTTTCTCAACTGGCACGCGCTGCACTTGCGCGATTTCGGGGTGGATCCCAGTAAATTTTTTGGATCTCTCCCCGATCAACGGAACTGACCCGAAATTATAAAAAACGCTGGAATTCAAGTTGTCACGTTTTCGAATAGAGAGTGTCGGAGCAACCCTTTTCTTTTTAACACAACGCCCTTCCGTTACACGAAAACGATTGTCCCTCTGATTTTGAGATATTTTTGAGAATTTCAAATTACCCTCATCGCGATTAACACCAGTCCCAAAATTCTCATTTCCTTTATCAAAGCCCGACGTATAAATCAAGTTTCTCGACTTAGAAACGGGAATAATCAAATTTCTCAAATTATCATTTTTCGAACGCTCCACAGTCAAAACCTCCGTAGAAATTTTAATCGCACTTTGAGAACCCATTTCCCTCTCCTTCCTACGCATCCTCTCGTTATAAGTCTCCGAGTGCTTTTTATCCTTCCTAGACATCTTATACCCGACATCCACAAGACTGGTTTTCCCACAAAAAACTGTCACCCCACCACCACCCCTCAAATTCGAACCCAAATAATTCCCATAACCCTTCGAATCACTCAAAAGTCCCCCAATAGATTTTTCACCCCGTCTAAAGTCATTTCTCCTATCAGGTCGAAATGGACGAGGACTAGTTTTAATAACGTAACAATCATCAACCCTCTCGACACCAACAAATTCATCATCCTCGCTATATCCAACCCCATAACCCCCCTCAGCCCTCTCCCAAGTATAGCAACAACCCTCGATCCTCTTGTCAAAATTTTCATACCGAACGTTATCATAAAGAGAATCCCTACCACTAGCCCTATTTCCACCCAAATTATTCTCTTGACAATCATCGGAAACGTTATCGTATTTCGACGTGCGATCGTTATCAGTCTTCTCAATCTCAAAACGAGATAAGGGGTTGACATGCAGACGGGATACGCTCAGTCGATTCGCAGTGTCATGCAATGAGTTTCCTTCACCTCGAGCAGACGTGGTGACGGTGATCGAGGCGCCGCGTTGTTCTTCGGCCCTGCCTCTCCCCGAGACGGATCCCCTGGGAGGAACAGGTGGAGGAACCTTCCCCGAAGGAACGAGGTTAGGACTGGGAGGACTGGCGGCGCTGCGGCCCTTCAGCACCGCCGGATAACTGGATCTGGTCGTAGTTTCAGGTGCGGAGACGATTTCAGTGAGTGGCGGCGGACTTACTGGACCGGTGATCGTTGGAAGATTTATTGGAGTGGAGGTGGCTATCGGGATGGAGGTGGTGGAGATCGCAGCGACGGAGGGGATCACAGTCGAGACGACGGGGGGCTCGCTGGGACTTGCTACAAGCGGCCATCGATCAAGCACAGTCATTCGATGACGCGTGCGTGCGGGACAGAAAAAGAGAAAAAGAAAAGAAGCTGATCAGAAGACCCATGATGATTTTTCAATATTTTTCTTTCGACACCCACTGACGTTTTTTCATGATTTTTTTCTTAGCCGGTACGTCCAAAAGTTTATATTTAAAATTGTACTTCTCAAAGAACTATCTGTCACCCGGCACCAGCGTCGCTGCACCCGTCGATGACTTATGATAAATTGCGATTAGACGATAGTGACTCTTAGTTAATGATTATGCATTTTTTTTTAATCTTTAAATTCACTAAGCCAGTCTCTCGATGTGCGACTTGTGACGTATTGTTATACTTCTTTTTTTTTTAATATTCTTATGTGACAACTCATAAATGACTGTCGTCGAGTGATCAATGATTCTGTGTACTCTCCGACTGTCACGAAGGTGGACTTTTTCAATTGGCTTGTAAAAGGATTTAATGATTAAAGCAGGAGACTCACCAGGCTTTGTGGGTGATGTAGCATGCATTGTCGAACTTCCGGTTGCCGCCACCGCTAAACCACCATACAATAACGATACCATTACCGATTTAATGAAGATCAATGCCATTTTTTTTCATTCAATTATTTTATAATCCTATGTCGGATGGAGGGACGTCTCATTGGAAAGGAAACGGGGTCACACGGGAAGCTCAGTGTTCTTGCAGACGGGAACTGTGGTAAAGGTCTTCGACGTGGGAAAGAGATCGACATTGTCGATACATCGGCCGCATGTATTATCGATGAGCTTGACTTTTTAATAAAAGATTCGAGAGTGACGTCAGAGTAATGATCAAGAGTCACGTGACTTTCCGATCGATTCGTCTTATTGGATCATTTCATTTTTTTTTTTATTAATTATTTCATTTTGACTTACCGGTCGAATCGAAATCTCCCTCCAGTGGCCTCAGTGGCCTCGTGATACTTTTTCTCTTCGACGGGGAATGTTTCAACGCTGCAATACAAACGACGATATATTAGCATTTCAGACAATTGTATCGATAGCGATCGATTTTAACGAATGTATCGAAGTATCGATTACTTATCCGTATAGGGAATCGTTAAGCGTGAAAAATCTTAACGATTTCATATGTCATTTTCATTTATGGGACGGTAGTGCATTGTTATGTAATTTGTACTATATGGTAAATATGGATTGATTGGGTATCGATCTGTACAATTTGATGTAGGGAATATATTCTAATAACGTCGTGAGTAGTCTAAAAAAGAAATATACATATATATATATATATAGGACTATTGATATATAAAATCTGGAGACCGACTATATTAATGTATATAATTATAATTCAAGCTGACAACATCAAAAGCGTTATATATACTTTTTTTTTATCTAAAATCTCAAGATCCTACGTCAATTGTATTTTTAATCTTTTTAATTATTCAAATCGTCACGATCAAGATGTTAGGGATTGTAGGGAAACTCGTGTAAAAGTTTTTTATATATAACAAATTATCATCGATCTTCCTAGCGAGAAATTTTGATACGTCACTTTCCCCTTTTTTTTTGAAACAAAAATTTTAGTTTCATAAGCGACAGTGTCATATTGGACATTCTGCGTGTGTCTGATGCACGAGGAGATGAAGTGTGACACTTGATGGCAGCGATAGGAAAATGAAGAGAGAATGGACCAAGAGAGATTCAAGAAATCAGAAAATAAAATTTCCCATGCAAAGAGACAGACGAACGAATATATCGACAGGCAGAAAATAGAAAAATCATACAAAAGTATACCGGGTGCAGAAAAATAAAAAGAAAATTTATATAGAGTCAAAAAGCAGTGGCCAACGTTTCGTGCGAAAAGCAAAGACACGACAGATACATAAGAAACGTAAAATGAAACAAGACAATCCCATCCAAACCTTTGTCATTATTCAACGTAGTCAAAAATGTCCGACTGGACAAAACATCCCGTTGAACGTATCGCTCGCCTCGTGCGTCACGAGTATCAATAGTGAAAAAATACGTAAAACCACAAAAAAAAAGCTACAAGTACAGTGCCTCGCGTATTAATTAAAAAACTCATCAACTTTTTGGCCATCCGACGAGTACCCACACGGGTTAGAAAAAAAAAACCAAAAAAAATTCAAAATTCAGTATCCGAACATCCAACACGCTATCGAATGCTATCATATGTCAGTAATTATTAACAGGTTGATATTTCAGCGTGACAAAAAAAAATTGATAAACAATTACCCAACACAGTGGTCTTTAGTTAACAAATTGAAAGATTCAAAAATGCACACGTGACAGTGCAGTAAACACAGACACTTTTAATTAACATCAACGATGCTAATTGATGTTAAAAAAATGCCCAAAAATATTAAAAAAAAAAACTAGTGCAGTTTTTTCAGATTATTTACAAGCACAGTGTGTAAACTCGAAATCTTAAGGGAGAATTGAGTTTGTACAAAAAATATCAAGCGGCGAACAGGCATCAATTATTTTTCAAAATATTTCATTCAGGCGACATTTGCACAAACAACAAACTGGCAGAGACAACTCAGGCTTATGACAGACAAGACAAGACAGACAGAGTTACCTATGTAGCTGGTGACGAGGTTACGGAATTTGCGATGGTTCCCCTTAATCTCTGGCAGGTCCACTTTTGGTATTCAGTTTTCGAGTTTTTTTTTTTTCGATCGGTAGCAGGTTCATTGGTCAGGGGGTTGACAAAAGGGTGTGCACGGACACAGAAACATCAACATTTAGCTAATCCAAATACCGAACAAGTTCACATGGATATCGATCGAGAGCGATAAGATCAATAAAAATCTGCCATAAAGATTGCCGAGCGTTTCGTTGTTAGCTATCGAGACGGGGAGCCGTAAAAGGGAAAAGTGTGAGAGTAACGTACAACGCAAGAAACAAAAACGAAAAAAATAAATACGAAAATTAAAATTTTAAGCAACGGACCGTCCAGTTTCACTGGGTCAATGATAACACTGATACAGGATGAGTTGTTAGTACGAATTCTGTGTGTGAATTATTATTGCTTTGCATTGTGAGAGACGTCGATAAAACAGAAACCAAAAAAAAGAGAAAAAAAATTACTCCCGAGGAAAATTACAAGCGAGAGTAGTGCGGAGGGGGACTGTAAATGAAATGAGGTTGTAAACAGCGAAAATATTTATTGTAAAGTATATAAACATGTACATTCGGTGTCCACATGTATTTGATAGCTGAATATTAAAAAAAAAAAATTCAAAAAAAATGATCCCTTCTCCGTCTCACTTACTCTTGGTGCCACCGCGTGTGTTAAAAATATAAAAGAAATCCGTCCAAAGGCAACTTGTGTATTTTAATTTTAAAAAACTCGCTCGCAGTTAAACGTTATGGTATCAGCATGCAATTTACACCAAAATTTTTCTTATTCTCTCTAAAAATGAGTGAAGGTATGTTTTAAAAAAAAATTTTTTGAAAGTGCACAGCAGTGCTAATTGGTGTGTATTAATTTGGCACAGTAAAATACTTCAGTGTGAGCACAGTCGATTCTAATTCGCGTTCCGTAAGTTCAATGACGTGATAACGATTCGTATAGAGCTTCTTGAAAATTCGTCAAAATATACTCTTGTAACATGTTGCTCGAATTCGAAGCTCACCGTAGGACCGAGAGTCGTTGTCCATCCCAAAAAATATTTGTGCTGAAGCTTTCGAGATGAAAAATTAAAAAATGTAAAAAAAAGACGAACTAATTTTTTTCGTAAAAAAAGATCTCGTCACACCGCACGAAATACTCAGCTATATTGTTGTGGACACCAGTCTTGACGCACCCTGATAAAGTCATCATTCTTTTTTTTTTGTGGCATCAAATATTGCATTACGTAATACTTTTGAGGTGAACGCGACGAGGGTGGGGGTATGGATGATACCGGAAGTGACAACGTAAAATTCGGAGAGAAAGTTAAAATCCCCCGTCCAAAAAAAAAGTGAAGCAAGAGAAAAATAACGGATGGAAAATTGATAGTTGAAGGAATAAATAAAAACAAAAAACATAGTCAAGTTTCTAAAGGAAGAACAATATACGATACATATATGTATGCATATGGCGTTAGCAATATTAGTCACAAGGAAAAAAAAATACTAAATGACAGACACGATCGAACAGCTCACAGATAGATCAACTGAAAATATTTCAATCGGAGCAACGATTCTCGCTCGTCTATTGCTTTTTCCTCTTTTTGTCAAGTTTTTTTTTTCTTTCCTTTCCTTCCTTAATTTCGATCGATATCGTTTTGCTTTATTCCTTTTATATGCTGGCTCTTATTTTGTGGAATTCTTTTTCATTGTCATAATACTTTTCGTATGTATAATTAAGTACGTCGATTTCTGGTACGTCTTAAGAACACTAGACAATCGGTAAAAATGTGATTTCACCAAAAACGATGAAATTTCATATCGTCGTTATCATACACAACAGTGTGATTAATATAATGTTATATAAAAAAATATAGTGATGATTTGTACGTCGCTTTGAGTGTCTTGAAAGAAGAAAAAGAAAAAGAATTATAAGACGATTAAAAAAAAGAAAGTCACTTGTCCGCTGATTATTCACGAGTAAAACGATGACAGGAGAGAAAGACGAAACTTTCCGAATGAACTTGGGCAATTTTGAGGAATAAAAACGCGCGCGGTAATTAAATTAAAGAAAAAGAAAAATATAACAATAAAATATACGAGATCAATCGAAAAATCAGACGCTCCGTTAAATGCCTCGAGGTCGCTAACGAGCAATGCATTTTGTGATAAGGCAAAATTTCCGTAAAAAGAAAAAGAATGTATAAAGTAAAAAAATAAGCGCGTTGTTACGTACGTTTCTTAGCATTTCGTAAACGGTATATGTATGTATACTAAAATATAATGTTTAATCTCTAGCTTACGACTTACTGCTCTATTTTCAATAATAATAGTAGTAGTAGCGATAGGTAATAGTAAATGGTAGTAACAGTAGGTAATAGTAGTAATAGATAGGAATATGTACCCTCCTTCCTTAAGTAGCATAGTAAATTAAAAAAGCCTTCCGACTGTAAATGGCCCTGCAGACTCAAATACATCAACTAGCAAAGATATTATCTCAATGTAAGAATAATTTATCTCGCGACCGGTTATTTATTTCCTGCCAAAATTGACTCTAAATATCGACGTCTACGCCTATGCAGCGTATAGCTTGAAAACAGTTATCGCAAAATCTCTGCTTGGCGGCACCATTGCATTCTCTGTTAATCATTGTAAATTCTTTAATATCTGATAAGACAGGAATGCGAATGATAGGGTGAAAAGTAGTAAAAAAAAATGTAAACAATAATATCACTGACTGAGATAATTCGGTTCTTCGTTAATCCGCTCTAATAATTGACGCGTGGATGTGTGTGACACACGAGATTATTCAACCAGGAAGAACCGGAATCCATATTCGACAATCGACGATGACGAATTTAGGAATGTGCCTTGTTGATCGCTAGCATCGAGGTCAAATTTGCTAGGAGTGGTTGATTCGGATGGTACTTACGTGAGGGTATCTTCTTGAAGACGGTTTTCGCCATGAAGTCCTGGAAGCGCTGAGCATAAAATCCTGGACGATGCACGGACACTGTGTCCTGGAACAGAAGATCATTCGTCACATTCTCCAACAGGTCGAAAGATATCAAAGTTAAAGAATGATGAGACTGTGCAATAACAAAAATTAAGAACGTGACTAATATTCTGGAAAATATTATTCACCCCGTCGTGTATCATGGACTTCCACGTGTGCTCGAGCTTCTTCTTGAGTCTGTAGCTCTGGAGGATGTCGATGATACCCATGAAGAGTAAAAGACGTTCACCACGAGCGTTCCTGGCTGGAATACCGCCCGGACTGCTAGGAACACATAGAATCGCGTCCGTTATTACAATTTTTTTTTAATTAAATAATATTTTATTCGTCATCCTAATAATGGAAGAGGACAGTTGATTTAACGATCATGAAAAATATAACAGGAGTACTCACGGTACGTCATCCTCCTCGTCAATGGGCTCACTCTCGGCCTGGATACTCTCCATCGCCGTACTATGAGCCACCAGCCTCTGTCGATTTATGCTGCGAGATCTATTAAGGGCTGCAGCCCCTATTCTGTCTTCTCTCTCGCGTTCCCTTTCACCCTGAACGAAACCACTACCGTCGTAGCAAACTTCGCCAGCGTCCTCGTCTGCACTGGCCGATAACCTTTGCTCCTGCTCAGTAAAAAAAAAACCAAGGATGACCTATGACTCAAGAAATACGAATAACTGATGTTACCATTTTTTTTTTCTAGGACATTTTTTAACTTACAGCCTTTTCTCTAGCAGCTTGATCGAGGTTGTGAATCCCCACGAGAAGTGAGTAATCCATAATTTTGAAACTTTCCAACACGCGACAATCCCGCTGGATAGTTTTGACCATGGCGCCATAAGTGTCAGCTTCTAAGAAAATACCCTCCGGATGATGTTCCATAAAATCAAGATCCTTGTAGGTGGGGGATGACTTCGATCTTTCGCTTCTTGAGGCCTGATTAAATTTATCATTAAAAATTTATCGTTCAACGAGTCTTATCACAATCGTATAATTATTTGTCGTCTCGTGAAAATTTCTTACTTTTCGCTTATACGTCGAACCCTTCAAATCGTATTTCTGATGAAGCTTCACTGATGACGGTAAAAGATTATTCATGGCGACTAATCTCACGTTTTTACTATTGCATCGATAACAATAAAGCCCAAAGAATTTGGGCAATAGCGTCCTTGGATTTTGATTAAGATTCTGAAAGTTATTATATGACGTTTTTTTTACACCGACAACTATCCACTGATATTGTATGATAATCATAATTATAAATCATTTTTCAATCTTCACCATGTAATATCCAGGTAATAGAGTCTGCAAGAACTCTCCCTCCTTATGCTGAACAGTCTTAATAATGAATTCGTCATCCTCCGTCAGATAAAAGATGCTACCACTGGCGCCAGGGTTGGACAATTCCCGCAGAGGCGCGCTACACATGGACATCTAGAGAGAAGAAAAATTAACACATAACAATAAGAATGCTCCAATCGGTTTGATGCAGCTAAACATAAAAAGAAAAATGAAAAATTACCAGAAAGTCATCAGGCTGAATGCCAAAGAGATCCCTAAAGTATCGAAAAGCAATGGGCGCATAATTCTTGAACTTAAACTCGGAGAAGTGATGAGCTGGCGTGTGATTGGAGCCTTCGCTAGGAAAATTTGTCGTTTCCACAGTCATGAAATCCTGCATGAGTAAATCCCTTTCTGGTTTACTGGCGAGACCACCGACAGCGTGTTGAATGCCAAGTTGAATCGATCCCATAATTTGGGTAGTTTGAATCTGTAACAAGACAATGAAAAATAAGATAATAATTCAAAATACAATTTCGCAAGAATATATCTAAAATATAATTACACACCCATTCTAGATAGTCAATAAATTCAAGTTCCACTAAATTCCACCTCATGGCGTCTTCATAATTACTAATAACACTGAGTCCCACACTTGTGTCAAATTAATATAAACATGCTGTCCCGTCTGTTGATTACAGATTCAATAAAAAAAAAAAAAAGAAAAAAGTGTCCCGATAAAAAATATAACAAAGTTCAGACAATCACGACGCAAAGTCAGTTTACATCTGTGAATTCCACAGGATTCGCTACAGATACGGACTCACGATTCACCGAAATGGAGTGGACATTTATTTATAGCAGTAAGTATATTTGCAGTGACGATTAGAGCCACGCTAAAAATTTTGAACAACAATTAGCAAATAAAGTGACATTTAACTAGGTAACAGAGACGTATCGCTTCCAGATGAAATTTGACATTTCATTTTGTCCATAGACATCCATAGTTTCTTTGTCGAATGGCAATGAATATTTTTCTTCTGATTAATGACAAATGCAAAGACATTTCCTAAGAAATAATTATCCAGCGCAAGTCGCTGCTAAATCTATTCCTGTACCAGAGAACAATTTTCATCGACAGTCTCCTCTGCGTCAATGCGTCTAGTACTCGGCATTTCGCACGGTTATATTTATGTTTAGAGAAACACCGACGGCTCGCGCAACAAGCGTCCCGACGTCGACGTCGTGTTACTTAATATCTCTTATCCTACTCTGGATCGTGCAACTACCGTCCTTCTGTTTTCTTTTCCTTCCCTTTCCCAGCCTATCCTTAAATAACTACAGACTGCTTCAAAGTCTTCATTACTTTTTTGTAGGTGATCTCGCCCCCGACGCCAACTCTCCGGTGTCCAATTTTTCTCTCGCGCTCCGATTTGTTCCTGGACACCCCGGACGGGGTCTTCGGTCCAGCGAAGCCATGCTGCGCCGTCGAAGTCTGCAAGAAAACCAAAAATTACACTCTCTTCCATTCGTATCGCCTTTACAAATAATACGTCCTATCTGTATCATGTGACATCTGAAGTTTGCATCATTCCTTGACCAATAGATCAAACAGTTCCATAACTAGCGAGGCGTGACTCTAGCCAAACAATTAGAATAAATAAATGAACGGTATTTACATCGATGCCACAAGCACAATGCGCAACATCGTTCTTATCAAGAGAAACATGGCCAGTCGGAATTTCCCGTTTCATGAATAATTTATAAAATTGCGAGCGTCCCAACATTTTTATGTACCGTACAGGCCCGATGGAGCGTGCACGAATTTAAGAAAAAGAATTCAAAAAAAAAAAAAGATAACCTTCATAATTTCAAGGCTCGCCTGTATTCACTTCATTCCCAGGCTTAACGTGATAATGACAAATGCTCGCAGGTGTACAGACAGTGTAATGTTCAGCTCTGGTAACAATCTTTGAGATAATAAAAAAAAAATTATAACCACGCGACAAGGTCGATGTACGAAATATTACATTGACTCAAATAGCTCATACGACTCTGATTTCTATCAAGAAGAGTCAAGACTCTGATAATATTATGAAGACCGGACGAGTGGTATCTTGAATCTTCTATTTCTTGAAATAGTGAATTCCATGATAATTTACGCAATAAGACGATCGGTTTCCGGAGTCTGTCAAGGGTGAAGTGGCGGCGTGGTTAATGCTGGATATCGATGAGAAGAGGCATTGGGACGGTTTGTAAATTATTGACTGGCTGGATGCTAAAAATAGAAGCTGATTTCATCAATAAATTCGAGGAAGTATCGTGGAACTTTATAGGAAGTTAAAAAGGAGATGAATGATACTTGCGAGTATATATGATCTGTTTGTCAGTCATACTTTGCGATTAATGAGAGAGAGTGTAGTGCCATTGACGAGAGTGTATACATACATATATATCATATGGAATATATTATATATATGTATAATAGTAGAAAGTGGAACAAGGGGTCTTTCGTCAGTGACAATAGACTGAGAATGCAGCTTCGTGCATTCATTTGGATGTCCACCACTCTATAGTGAAATAGTCCTGTTGCTGCTGTATATGACAAAATGGAAGAGTCCAAGGTTAATTAATATGATGTATAAAATTTCGACACTCTGCTCGTTACAAAATGATTTATCGTTGCGATGCTCGATACAAGAATTGTGAAATACTTCGTAGAGGCGAACTAGACAGAGAATTTCAGAGCGTTTATTTTTTTTATTATTATTCGTAATGAGTGATAAAACGTAAAACAGCCTTGGCACAAGAACGCTTCCCGTTTGACAAGTCTTCTCGAATATGTGATTATCTTCCGATTTGTAAGTGTTAACCAGCTACTAAAAAATTGTTTAGGTTATTTGGATCAAATTCATTTTCAAATTTTCCCGCGTGTACGTAACGATGCGTAAGCAATTAAAGAAATTTTATTGTTATTGATTTGACGGTTTTTAATTATAAAAATTTGTAGTTAGTGTGGCGAAGAATTTTTAAAGTTCTCAGTAACTTGATTAATCAGCGTGTAAAAATATACTTACGTCGAAGGCTGTGACTTTCTCGCCTGTCGATTTGTCTGTAATAAAAATTAATGTCACATTATTACATTGATGCTTTGATGTTTGTTTTCTTATTTACAGATTAATAAGTATAAACAGATATGATAATGGTTAGGAAGATGATTCATTTTAGGAGTAAACCAATCTTTCGCGTATGGCTTATTGAAAGTATTATTTGAGTGAAAATTAATTCAGAGGATGACTTATATTAGTTGGAATTATTTGTGCAGTGTTAAAATAAATATTAGACGTTACTTCGAGTTTGAATGAAAATAAAGGCAGTAAACTTTCGTTAGTTTCCATTTATTCTTGATACAGTAAAAGTGGGACACCAGGGACATTTGGTTATCAGCTGTGAAAATCATTGGCTTATTTGTTATAGACACGCCTTATTGGATTTGAAATTGTTATATTTCGTGTATAAATCCTTGAGGATACGCCTTGTATAAGAGAGCCAATAAGTACAAAATCGTAATAGCTCGAATACTCGAAAAAGCCTTCATTCATGAAATGGAGCAGCCGGATTACAAAGTAATGTCGAAAAATGTCCAAAGCGATAAATACGAACGAGTAATGTGTGATAACTATCGAAAAGAAACATAAAGGGGCGTTTCGCGATCATAAAAGGAATTTAATATAATGGATATAGCATAATGATTCTAGTCATATGTAACGATGGGTGCCACCCATCAGCTGTCAAAAAAGAAATTCTCAGCATACATGAGCCTGATCACGAGCCTGATGATTCTCGCGAATTAAATGTATTTAAACTGAGAATAAATAGCGAATCAAAGTCCACGTAATCGATATAATATGAATGTAGGTATGAAATGTGAGTAAGAAATTGAAACAGATGAAATCATACGAGTAAGGAGCGACGCCCGTCTAGCAATGAACAAGATGAGACTTATAGGTTATGTTAATAATAAAATGATAAGTAGTACGAAGTAAGAATGTACGCACTGTCTTCGTCTGTTGAATCATCAGGCCTGAGATGATTTTCTGTAGCCCGAGCCGGTCCGGCGATGTCACTTTCGAGCATCTCAATCACATCCACATTGTCACCCGAAGCCATTTTGTGACCAACTATAATTTACGTACGTTCCTAATAATTTAAACGTGCATTTCGCGTGCGATTCCTTCGCATGTTATCACGAGGCGAGCTCTCAGCGTGCCTCGTTCATACGGTTTACACTTTTCAGCCACATTTTAGACACTCCGCACCGTGCGCGTACCACAAGAAATGTCGCCTACGGCCCTTAATTCCGGGCTACGTTCACCCACGGCCTTCGACTGAGCTACTTCTATTGACCCGACGCCATTTTGTAACTACGGCAGCGCCATCTCTGAACAACTTCTTGAAACCTGTTGCGTTTATTGAAAAAAAGTTTTTTCCTTGCTCATCGTATAATCGTTGACCGAAGATAACGACTGCGTGTAGTCTGTCCAAGTTAACGAAGTAATAGCTGCTTCGTCTCAAAGGTGGCAGCACCATCGATGATGTTAAACTCACAGCAACCATAACGGTATTTCTTTTACCAACAGAAACTTTTCGTCTCTTGAAATTTTAGTCGTGTTATTACGATTCTTATAATATCTAAGGCAGACACAGTATATCATTAGACGATACTTACTACTACGAACAATAAATGCTGAAGATATCCTAACAGTTCGTTTTGGTCAGTAAAAAAACTAAATGTCTGTGAATGCAGCGTAATAAGCATAACTATTCCTGTCCACTTCCTGTCCATTGTTTTCGATTCGCAAATTTCATAATGACGAACATGCATTGATTCACCAAGTACATCCCTGTATTTCCTATGACGTTTGATACTTTGTTAAATTAATTAATTAAAAAATGCAAACTCTGGATGACGGTAACGCCTTGTCAAGCGATAAGATTTTTATATGTTTTTTATAAAGAAAAAATGTTTAACGACAGAAGAAGGACGGAGTACGCACGGAAATTAAGAATGCAAAAAATCATCCTCTTGGGCATCACTGGAGTTCTAGCTTATGAGATTATCAACAGCTATCTGAACTTTCATAATCAGGTACTTCCGATATTATCAATAGTTATACTCAATTATTAATAGGATTTATTACTTTGTGTTACTGTCTGACAGGTGTCAACCATACAGAACCATTGACTTAATAATTTTTGAAATTATTTCAAGGTTTCTCAATACACTCAATCAATTGCGTATCGAGAAGCACAAGAAGCTAGTAAGGAATACAGCATGAAATTAATGAAAAGAAATCAGCAGCTGCTCTCAAGAGAGGAAAAGGAATTAAACAATAAAAATAGATATCAAGATACCGATTGATTATAATGCATGAAATATGCTTTACCATGATAATATGTGAGAAATTTAAGACTCTATAAATTATATATTTTTACAAATATTCAGGATTCATTAAAAAGCAAAGAGACTCACGCGTGACATGGATGTCAGTAAGGCTGATAAAATTTATGAGTAACACCAGTCAGTAGTCAGTCGTGACTCTTCTGGAAATTGAGTTGACAGTTTGTATATATGTATATACTGTCGCTTTCAAATTGACTTCAAAGACTACGTTCACATCGTGCAAGATTTTAGTAGGATCAACCAATCACGTAATAACGCATCTCCTTATTGAGACAAAGTCACAAAGGAAAAAAAAAGAACCAATCATGCGTGCCATCTAGTAATAAGCCATAGAACACAAATCAAATTTTGCTCAAACTCAATCAACATATGATGCAATAATAGTTAATTTGAGGAAAACGTGTGCGCTGAATGAATGAATATAAAACATCAGCTGAATTGTACATAAACCAGAGATGAGTAGGCCTACTCATCTCTGCATAAACTGTTATTAAAAGCTAAGTTCATAGTTCGAGGTGTTGAGCTCAAATTGAAGTCATTTTACTATCTGGGTATAATAATCACCTGAAATGATATTATAGGGACATGACAGTTGTCTACTCTCTTTTTATTGACTTTTGTTTCTCTACGATGTCACGGCTGCAGGAAGGACTGTATACGTAGTTTTTATAGCTACATATATTAAAAATAGCGAATGATCCTGACCCCTTAATGAAGTCAGTGTGAATTCTTTATCGGGTATTGTTAAAGTGTCATAAATGTACAGTCAAGGCGAACGCGGAATATCCGGTTGTTAAGGCAACAATGGAATAAAATTGCTACTGCGTAACGCATGAATGGGAGGTACTTGAAAAACATACACAGCAAATAATTTCGTAGGATAGATGGCAGCACGGTGAATTTCTCATGAGAATTGTTTTCATTTGCAAATACATAAGAACGTAAAGAGGAAACGTTACCAGACTCAATTTCGAAAAGTCAATGACAACGTCGGATTGTAAGTTCTTGTTTTTTCTCAACATGTGTCACTTGAACATCGAATATTCACCTGCCTAATTTAACCATGCGTTGTAGCAAAAAATATTTCTTAATGTTAAACTTTGCTTATATCAAACCAGCTGTGCATGCTTACAAAAAATGTCGAAGTATTTACGACACACCTGTTTCCTTACGATATTCCTAATTAACTTGATACAAGGGACATTAACGAGAACTGAAAAATTTTCCCTTGGAAAATAAGCATTTTGAAATAATGACATGTGGACGTATGTACGTATATATATATATATATATGTAGCGCGAATGTTCACTTACTTCAATAATGTCTGGGTTCTATGCCTCTATGACTCTGGGGGTATGCCTCGTAGTAGATATTAATTGCATACATATATAATAGATTATAATAATAGACTGATGTACAAATTAGAGTAAAAGATAATGAATAAAATGATTTCATTTTGAAAATTAATGTTCGAGGTTCGAATACATTTAAAAAATAAATTTGTAGGTTATATGTATGCTGTATACATGAAACTTCTTTGAAATTTTTAAGGTGTTGTACGACAGGCATGTGACTCATTTACACACGTTAGACGCATTGAAATAGGTATCTTTAATTTTTTTTCGAGTAATCCTGTAATTTATGATAACTTTGATACGCAATATATCTCAGTGATAGTTGCTTAAAATATGGCTTGACTTTTCGGCACATGGTTTGAGCTAAAAATAATTTCTGCGAAAAGTGATAATTCTTTAATATTCAGCGAATAGGTATAGTACGAAAAAAGGACCAGTTAAATGCATATCTTTTAGAGGGATGTCCTAAAGATTAAGGCTGACTTAATTAATACTTAATTTCTAAGACTTTATTTCTACTTATAAAAATGTATATAAGTATCGTCATTTGAATCGTTACAATTTCGATGTTTGCAATGAATTTTTTAAAGGTACTAGGAATGCAGAGAAATGAAGTCGCGTGTAAAGCGGAACATGAAGTGAAATTCTGTGAAAATGTCAAGAGAACAGGTTAAAGGCGAAAGTGAAGATTGTCGGAAGACCGTGTAAGATTACATATGGGAGACTGAAGAAGGTTGTTAAAAGGTGAAAAAATGTAAATAAAAAATGATAAGTTATCCAGAAAAATAATTCATGTATGGAAGCCACCGTGAAAATTACAGCCGCCAGATATGGTGCCGTTTACTCAAATGATAAAATTATTTACGAATAAACGAAGAGTTTAAGAATTTTTACAACGTGGGACTATCACGATAACAGCTGGAAGTAGAGAATTGTATAATATCACTCCAGTTGCCATCATGAAGCAGTGAGGAAGCCGACACAGTCCGATGATAATTCATAATAATTCATAACGTTAGAATTAGCTGAATGTTTTTCAAAATTCTGAGGGGTTTGTGGTGAAAAAAAAATCTGCCAAGACCAAATTTTTCAAAATCCAACGTACAGAGTATTATGAAACCAGAATCAAAATGCGTGTCAGCGCTAAGTCATCACCTGTTCAGAATATCGCACAGAAAAAAGAAGGCATCGTTTTGGATATTTTGAGTAAGTATTTTTAAAAAATGCTAAACATTGATTAAACGATTTAACTCTTTTATCTTTTTTTTTATCCTTAAAAGGTCCGCACGGAAAGAAGGGTGCTGATTTTGAAACGGCTATTGAAGCAACCGGATATGGAAAATTTCATTACTTATTACTGATCACGGTTATTCCGGTATTATGGTGTCCAAGTTTTGACACTGGCAACATGTCAATGATTTTACCAACAGCGGAATGCGAATTAAAGTTGACTCTGTTTCACAAAGGAATCTTAAATTCTATAATATACGCTGGTACGTAAAATGTGTAATTTTAAATAAAAACAGCAACGACACACTGTGGCTAAAAATACTTATTTTAGGTATGATATGCAGTGCCTTTTTATGGGGATACGTTGCTGATGTTCAGGGCAGAAGAAAACTTTTAATTTACGGATTCTTAGCAGACGCTATATGCAATATATTATGCGGTATAGCGCAAGATTTCTGGACTCTAGTATTTCTCAAATTTTCAAGTGGATTCATGTAAGTTCTGTTATGTCATTTATTATAAATTTAAAAATCATAGGTCCTTGTAATTGACAGTTATGAATTTTTAGTCAAAGCGGTCCATACGCAGTTACCATGTCGTACTGTGCTGAATTTCACGTAACAAGAAACAGATCAAAAGTGATGATGCTCCTTGGACTATACGGTTCAATGGGTATTATCATGAACGCAGGTAATAATAACAACCAATAAGAGCTAGAATTAATGTATATCGGATAATCAGATAAAAAAGATGTATCCTAGAAATTCGAATATTCTTGCAGTCCTCGCCTGGATGATAATCCCTCGTGACTGGAGTCTCGTACTCTTTGACCAGTCCTTCGTCTTGTCTTCCTGGCGCATATACCTAATGATGTGTGGGGTCCCAACTTTAGTAGGAGTGGCATGTCTCTATTTCTTCCCAGAGAGCCCCAAGTTCTTGATGTCACGTGGACATAACGATAAAGCCTTGCGTATCCTACGTAAGATATACGTAATGAATACAGGAAACACACCCGAGAGTTATCCCGTGAGTAGATAATAAAACTGGGAAATATATATGTAATGGTGATGAAGATGAAGATGATTATGATCATGACGATAAGTCCTACATGAAATATACTCAATAAGAACAAGAGCATAGTCTAATGACAGATAGTTTTGTTAGATTACCTCGTTGGAGAATGAATTGGCTCGTGGCATATCAGCAGATGACGAATCAACAACTGACATTCCAAAAATAAATTTCCGGGAAGGATTATCACAGATGAAACCATTATTCCAATTTCCTCTTCTAGTGCCACTTCTACTGGTTGTATCATTACAATTTTGTGTTATGCTTGCGTGAGTGTCGTTAAACCTAAAAGATTTGAAAATTTAAATTAATATTTTTTGTGTGTTTATACAGAGGAGCTACGTTTCGATTGTGGATGCCACAGATATTTGCACTTCTTGATAAATTCAGCGGGGAGAATTACAACTATTCAAATGGTGCTCCTGGCTTCTGCGAGATTTTAGATTTCTCGACAGCTGTGACTGCCAACAATACTGTCGCTGCTGCTGAGAGTATTGTTGAGACTGAGTGCAAAAACGTAATGTCACTCTTATAACGAGACATTGCGTGACTGATCGGATGCCTAAACTGACAGTTCAATTTAAACTACGGCTATAAATGAGGGTATTAAAGATAAAACTTTCTTGCAGATTGTCGTGGACGATAGAGTATATCTGAACAGTATTATTATGTCATGCACTGTTGCTGTGGGTTTTGTCTTTGTTGGAGCATTGCTCAAGTTTATTGGGAATAAAAAGCTACTGCGTAAGTGGACTGCATATACTTTATACCAATCATGTTGTAATGGCATCACACATGTGTGATATTCCAATTTTGCTTCATTCTTTGTTCTTCCTTTTAGTGATTTGCCTCATTATTTCTTTGGTTTCAATCTTAACCATGATATGGGCATCAGAAAGATTCATTATCCTGTTTCTAAGCTGCTTATACGTTGGAATCCTGACCACATTGATAAATGTTGTTATCGGTGTGGCTGTTGAAGTTTTCCCTACTACGCTAAGGTACCATTCTCTTCTGTCTTTCACATTACAGTCAAGTAATGTTGTTATATTTACAAGCTTCCTGCTGCCTTTTTCTTTCAGAACAATGGCAGTGAGCTTGACCATGATGTTAGGACGAGTAGGATCTCTATTGGGTAACCTCTTGTTTCCAGTCTTACTTACCTATGGCTGTATATATCCAATTATTGAATTATCTGGTTTCATCGCATGTAAGATGGCTAAAAATCTCCTTACCTACATATTCTCCAACATTTCATAACACACTTTTCTTTAACTTTCAGTTGCCATGTTACTCACACTGGTCTTACCAAAACCACCAGGAAATCTCAAATAAACTGAATCTCAACACTACATGAAGACAGCAGAGACCCTCGTGATTTGTGAATGACTTACAATTACGTGTGATTCATATTAAAGGAAGATCAACGACAAGGATAACATAATGAAACATATTGTACCAACTACAACCATGAAAACACAATGAAGAGACAAGAAAAACATATTTCACCTCACTGTAAACTGCCCTTCCGCAACGGAATGCACCAGAATGAGTATTAAAGAATGGACAACGCCGTCAAAGCCTGCGTAGTATAGTACCTGGGCCTTGAGTTTCACTTTCGACATATCCTGGAGAACCCTCCAGCCTTCACCCACATGCTCGTCTTCCCTTCTTCGGGCGAGTGCTCCCCTTATCAGTTCTACAATCTCAACATTACTTGCACTCACCTCGATTAGCACCATAGCTTCAATGTCCATTTCTGAGCTCACAATACAAATCCCCACCTGCTGACATCCTGATGGCTATAAAGCCATCTCCACGGTCTCTGGAATAGAATAAAATTTAAAAGAGGAAATAACCATAATATATATCATACAAGTAACACCAGGATACCGATAATAACTATCCTGTGAAGTTAACAGTACCTGCACCGTTGATACGGTGGATGCGACCTGATCATCGTCGTCTTACCCACGCGTATTCATATTCCTTCTGAGCCAAATGGCTGAACAAATATCGTGCATGAAATCGCAATGCACCGGCTTCATATCCATAAAACTATGACTAATCAAAAAATAGAAAAATCCCTGCTGTCCGCGCCATTAATGGTAATACATGTACCGATACTTTGTAACTGTAACATCGTCAATGTACTCTTCTTACTTGTTGTTAGTAGGAAGTTGAAGTATAGTATATAGTATGCAAAGTCTTGGATACAGGATTAGATGTACTAAAATTTGTAACAAATCTATGTGGATTGGAGGTTAACATTTATAATAATTTTAATTTTTATGCAACTCTATAATTTTAATATTCAATGGATGAGCATCACAGACTGCTGACTTTTCGAGGCATTCAAGTCTCTTAAATGACCAATGAGAAACTGCTTACTGAGTGTTATATATATATTTTTTTAATATAAATTGTAACGCTTTGGATATTATGTAATTTGAAATGTATTTTTCTGCTAGGATATGGAAGATAGAATGGACCACCTACGGTATTCTAGTTACGCGGTCAAAGTATTTTGATTATCTCGTTAGATTATAGTGCTCAGTGTTATACCTATATTTACGTGCTTACCTTGGTGGTATAGGTATATAATAATTAGATACGTCACGAGGGAAATTGGTATCGCGTGGTGAAGATATTTATAAAAGTAAAAAACCCCATTAGTGAAGAAAGCGAAGCTCGAAGCCACCATTACCAAGACCCTTGATCTGAAGTTTATATGAAGTGACGATTTACGGAAAAAAATAGTTATTGTCTCACCTCCTCAAGAAAAATAACAGCTTCGAATGAATTCGGTGCGCCGCGAAGCTGGCGTCAATAGCCCGCGACTGCGAGCATCAAGACGGCACTTTTGTCCTGTAATTAATAATTGTACCGCAATGGCGACCACCGCTAGATGACGCGAACTCGTGCGAAATTAGTCTGACAGAATCGCAAAATTAGTATTACATCCGCAGAGGTGAACAGCGAGGAAGAGTACAGTGCTCAAGGTGGAGATTGATCTTTCTTCCAGGAAATCCTAGAAATAATATAATTTTAAGAATGTGATGAGGCGGTGGCCACGTTTAAAAGAGAGTGAAAGACATTACCTGGTATATTGGCTAATTCGAGTAAGTTCCCATGAGTGCAAAAACATGAATTACCGGAATTACAAAGTAGGAGTAAAGTAAAGTTCAACGTCTTGAAAAATGTCCAAGTCGTTTTGGTCATGCGGTAAGGAATGATTCTCATGGCAGTTAATAACGTTGACATTGACTCCCCACCACTTTGAATGTTACGTTCACAGTTTCCAGAAACACGTGGATACTCTAGGATAATGATTACGCATAGTAATGATACCACGAAAGACAGTAGAAGTCAATTAAAAATGTTTTCCTAGCCAGCCAATCCGCTGTTTGGGTTCAGTGATGAATAGCTCAATAAATCGTATAATGACTTCCGGTCGGATCAGAATACAATCAGCGATCATTCATCGGTATTGCAATGTTTCTTTTTACGTCTCACACTGTCCAACATCTTCTTGGGGTTGATCACATAAACTGGAGGAACGACTTGAGCCACTGGATACCCGAATGCCGAGTCACTTAGCAGAAGTTCAATGGCCGTTTCGCTTATTGGACAATCCATTAACTGGACGCCTGGTCATCACGGCTGCAGGGGAACAAAAAAAAAAAAGAAGAAATTTGTAACCAGTCATCGGTGATCCTTATAATTTATAAACTAATGAAAACCGAGTGACTTCAATTCTTCTAATTGACAATGAAAAATTTGTTATACCTGAATGACGACTATTCTGTTTTTTCGTCACTTCTTACGGAAGTCAAGGTCACATCTAGACCCTAATACAGTCGTATACGATTAATTTTAGGAAATGACTCCTGTCATCGATACAATGTAGTCTGTACTCGAAGAAGATGAGCTAATCAAGGATGCCAAAAGAGACAGAAATTCCTACGAATAAATTCCACAATCAGACACAGTCGGTAATCATCATCCAGTGATTAAAATGTTGATGGCATGTTGATTTTTCTAAATGAAAAAAAATCCATTAAACACAGATTAGCCAGAGGATTAAAGAGGATCACGATTTGCGCTCGTCCCCGGGATAAACCTAGCGGACCGCATTGCTGCTCGATGGAGCCGTATAGCGTGACGTCGATTTAAATTTAGCCAGATCCTTTTTCAGGAGTATCAATCCGTCCTGGCGGTCCCCACCTCCGGAACGGTCCCACGGCCCGACCCGCCCTCATTTTTCTGTTTTTAAACCGCTAAACATCGATCCATTATTATTGTGTCAAACGATAACTGTTATCGGTCCTATTCCTATCCAAGAATCACGAAAATCACTGTGGACCAGTGGATGCTGGATTACCGTAAGATCACTGACGTAATGATGTTAAATAAAACCCAAGATCACGAGGTCTTTAACTCATGATTCAACAGCTACTAAAATATTGTCTGTCAGGGGCGAATTATGCAAGACGGAAATCAGAACTGCAAACTGTGTCTAGTCTATGTATATCTACGTCACTCAGCTGTACGAGTACCTGTGTTCGTTTATATATATATATATATCTTTCTTTCTCCTTTATATATATATATCAGTAAAGATGTAAATGAACAGGTATCGTACCGCTAGGACCGCTATGCCCGTAGCGCGTACCGTGTGAATCCTTACGCCGTACTCTCTTACTGTTCTTGCTCATTTTCTCGGGCCCCTTCTGTTACTTTGCGAGAAAGGGAGGGCCTCGGGCACTCCTTACTTCCTTGCTTCTTCCTCTTTTCCAACCAGGAACGTCGTCGCGCAGCACGCAACATCAGCCACGCGATCACTCAGAGCTTCCACGATCTTCAGGGCTCCGACCTGAGTCACGGGCATGAGATTTCTTGGATACGTCCATTCGTCAGAGATTGGGACGTATAATATTATGGGATTGTTTTATCTGGGTAAATAATAAAATGGTCATACGAGTATGATTCAAATATTACATGTGTCTACTGCTTATTCCACTTACCATAAGAAATATGTGTATACACTTTACAGGAACTAAGATCGCCCGTATGTAGAACGTCCTGCGGTGACTTCGGTAGTATGGACCTAGTATCGCAATCTCTCAGGTAGCTGGACGGTTTAAAATTATCGAGTCATCCTTAATAACTGTTTGGTGCAATAGTTTATAGATACGTAGAGCCTTGATGTTTGCTGCTCTAGGCATACTGTAAATAGCCCGATGATTTCTTGATGTTTAAACTCCAGCTTTTGTTATGACTGCAATACGACTTGCTCCTTTTCTCATGGTTTAATGCTTACGAATTATACTAGTCACGCTTGATAACTGTTATGTGCGTTGCGCAATTTTCATCTACGGTAAGATACACGATCGCTTTCCTAACCTTAACGACCGTTAATCATCGGCGGTTAATATGACTTTGTGGTTTACTTAATATTTATTTGAATATTTTTGAACTTAATATTTACTTGAAACATGCAATACGTAAGAAATGAATGATTACCTTATTCTGGGTGAGCATATTAATAATTGTTGATGATCTTTTAAAAGATTTCATCATTTGTAATTACTAGGGATATTTTGTGTGTTTATATTACGTTTCTTGACGTGCAAAGGGAATGCCGTGTTATTTGCGGTTATAATAAATTGAATGAGGTTAGGAACTGTCATTGGCTGCTGTGTCAAGAATACATACGCTTTACGCCATTACACTTTTCCATGTCACTCAGTCCGACAGCTGACCGTATCAAATCATCAAATGTGCGGAACCACATGACTCGAGCGACTTCTCGATTCTCCACTGGGAACTTCCGCGCTCGGTCAGCGAAATTGAAAATTGACCGCCGCACGTGATAACGCCGCTAAGAGAGTGGCCATTAGGATTTTTTGCTGCTTCAACTTTCAAAGTTTCTTCCTCTACGTGCGACAAACAGAATGATGCTGCGGAAAAAGGAAAGTCAAGGTTTATTATTACTAGTAGAATTAACCTCAAAGAAGTGATACTGAAATTCGTTTTTTTTTTGTAATTTGCAAATGTAATATCTTAACTCTTTGACTAGTCTTAAATTGTTATCAGGTGACATGTCAATGGATGGAAAATCTAAATCTGTAGTTGAATGCGATTCTGTCAATGGGATACAAGGTGATAAATATTTATTGTCGCCTATTGAGGAGGAAACCGAATCTGTCATCTCCTCGAGAGCCACGTCTGTCGACTACAGTGACAGCGAGGTCGACGATGAAGATTACTCTCGTACCTCTCGTACAGATGCGTCACGTGAGGAGGAAAGTATGAGAATCGAGAGACAAGGTATACAAGATTGCGGAGACAGGAAAGTCGAAGTCCTAAAGAAACCTCCGGGAACAACTAGCGACACCGGAGAGAATCGAAAGCAAAGTTTACGGGCGCAGGAAGGTGCGTGGTAAATGGATTACTTTGAAGGTAACCAAATAAATTTGATCTTTCTGTCAGATGATGAATCTTTGAGGACAGTTATGGAATGCCTGAAACAAAGAGTCACAGATTCCGAAAATGAAATTATCAATCTGAGAAGAGAATTGAATTTGGAAAAGGCCAAGAGTCGCGAGTTTGCTTTGCAATGTCAGAAAGAAAATAATTCTAATCCTTTAAGGATCGACTTGGAGTCCTGGAAGGATGAATTCATTAATAGATCCAAGTGCGAGATATCAAGATGGCAACAGAACGAAAGAAAAAGACTAGACCGTGAAATATCGAGAATTACAGAATTATTATCTCAGGTGTTAATCATTTAATTATTGATACTTACCATTTGCTAAAGACAAGTCGTTTTTGTCTCCTTGTTTTATCTTATTTTCTTTTTTTCTCTTTTCTATTGGATTATGCTCTCCCAGAAGATAACTAGAACATTCAAGAGAAGCTTGAAAGATTGGCACGCGGAAGAGAGTAAGAAAACAAGCGAACTCATTCAGAAGGAGAGAAACAGACAGGAAATTGATGCTGAGAGGACGAAGAAATCTTATGAGAGGTTACAAAGACACTTGGAGAATCTTGAGAGGCGAAATAAAAAGTCCTACGTCACCTTTCGAAAACAAATTGACAATTGCGAGAGTCGTTTAAAAGATGAAATTGTCGACTTGCATGAAAAAAATTTTGAAAAATTTAAAAACGAGGTAAAACATTGGTAGGTGTCAAAATAAAATATATATTGAATATATACAATTTACAGAAAAATTTATTTTAATAGGAATCCTGAGCGTAGAAATACTTGCTATCAATTGAGTCTTCCAAAAACAGATAAATCTGAATCAAACATTAATTTTGAAAAATCGTCAAAGGATGATCGATCAATTGCAAAAGAAAACCTATTTTCAAAACTTCTAGAGTGCGTGGATCGTAATGATCTACGAAGAATAGAAGAAAATCTCAAAATGGAGATCGAGATCAATCGCAAGGATCAATCAAAAAGAATGAACGAGAAGATTTGTGAATTATGGATCGCATTTGAAGAATTCACGCATAACTTTACACTAAACCGTCACTACAGTAACGAAACTCAAAATGTCGCGAACGATCCAATGTTCTTGGATTCAGATTCGATATATTCCGAAACCTTTTGCGATATCGGTACTAAAAGCTCTAATAAATCCAACGCAATAGATACATCAACAGATACCAACATTAAGGAAGATCCCACAAATCTAACAACATCAAAATCCAATCCTGGCTTCTTCGGGAAAAATTCATTAGTCAATTTGCCAATAGTCCCCCAAGTGCGGGACGATAAATTGAAAAAGAAATAACCAATCATTACGCATCGATACTTCTTTCCCTCTTCTATATTAATAAAAAAAAAAATGTTTCTCAACCGGAAATCCACTTTCGTTATCACGATTCTGTAAGAATGAGACAAGCCGTTACACAAGAGGATGGCAATAAAAGTAGAGTGTATCGTTTCCTGGTGAAGATGCTCTTCGATGAACTTTTATGACTGGCAGCACTCTCGCCGTTCTTGTTTCTCTTAGGCATGAAAACAGTTGGCAACCTTCAAGTTCACGGGCAGTTTAGAAAATGGAGGTGAGCAGGTATATACAGGGTGTTCGTTATGAAACGCACTGTAGTAACACCGTTGCATTCCTTTTCAAATTCTAAGGCATACGTGTATTTTCATTTTTTTATTTCATATATCAAAATTTCGAGATAATCAAGGTTGAAGTTGCTGTAATGCGACCAATCAGAACGCGTTTAAACGGAGCGTAGATGACGTCGCGAGTCAGCCCGTAAGGTCTGCTTACGCTAGACCAATAACACAATAGGTCTCTGTTTATCTGCATTAATTGAGACACAATCGCTCGCTGTAACGTTACTGAATTTCGGAAAGTACCCTGTATTCCTTATAATGTCTATTCCTTTAATTTGACAAGATAGTTCTACCAACGTATTACATTTTCAGTTGTCCTGAAAAGGACCGATTTTGATATACGCATGACCGGGCTTGTATCTCGAAATGCTAATCTGCAACAATTAGATACATTTTCTATGATAATGATTATTCTGAAACACTAAATATTGTAGAGTACGTAACATTTTTATCAGGATGTCGCCGATTAGGATACCTAATTGCATATTCTT